GGACTCCCTCCAATTTATCCACATCCTTCTTGTAGTGTGGGGCCCAAAACTGGACACAGTACTCCAGATGAGGCCTCACCAATGTCGAGTAGAGGGGAATGATCACGTCCCTCGATCTGCTCGCTATGCCCCTGCTTATACATCCCAAAATGCCATTGGCCTTCTTGGCAAAAAGGGCACACTGTTGACTCATATCCAGCTTCTCGTCCACTGTCACCCCTAGGTCCTTTTCTGCAGAACTGCTGCCTAGCCATTCGGTCCCTAGTCTGTAGCAGTGCATTGGGTTCTTCTGTCCCAAGTGCAGGACCCTGCACTTATCCTTATTGAACCTCATCAGATTTCTTTTGGCCCAATCCTCCAATTTGTCTAGGTCCCTCTGTATCCTATCCCTGCCCTCCAGCGTATCTACCACTCCTCCCAGTTTAGTATCATCCGCAAATTTGCTGAGAGTGCAATCCACACCATCCTCCAGATCATTTATGAAGATATTGAACAAAACCGGCCCCAGGACCGACCCCTGGGGCACTCCACTTGACACCGGCTGCCAACTAGACATGGAGCCATTGATCACTACCCGTTGAGCCCGACAATCTAGCCAACTTTCTACCCACCTTATAGTGCATTCATCCAGCCTGTACTTCTTTAACTTTCTGGCAAGAATACTTTGGGAGACCATGTCAAAAGCTTTGCTAAAGTCAAGAAACAATACATCCACTGCTTTCCCTTCATCCACAGAACCAGTAATCTCATCATAGAAGGCGATTAGATTAGTCAGGCATGACCTTCCCTTGGTGAATCCATGCTGACTGTTCCTGATCACTTTCCTCTCATGTAAGTGCTTCAGGATTGATTCTTTGAGGACCTGCTCCATGATTTTTCCGGGGACTGAGGTGAGGCTGACTGGCCTATAGTTCCCAGGATCCTCCTTCTTCCCTTTTTTAAAGATTGGCACTTTTTAAAAGATTTTTCACCAGGTGCACCCTTAGAATAGGGTTTTTCCACAGTCCTTCCCAAGTACCGTTGTGTCAGGGCTTCACCATTCCATTTTACCCTTTCCCCAGGGCTTGACAGCTACCTTCAGATGCCAATTGTCTCACCTCCTGTCCTCGGGCTCACCCACCAGTACCTTCCTGGGCTCTTATCCCAGCTTTCTTTGGGTAGGGAGTTCTGCCAGTCCCACACCAGCTGAAACACCTCTATGGAAAGACCAACCTCAGTCTTTCCCATGCTCTACTCTTCTTAGAGGAAACACCACCTCCATACTACTGGCACGTGACCCTGGGTCATCTTACTTATCCACCACCCCAAATCTTGAAATGGGGTGCTGTATCACAGAATATCAGGGTTGGAAGGGACCTCAGGAGATCATCTAGTCCAACCCCTTGCTCAAAGCAGGACCAATCCCCAATTTTTGCCCCAGATCCCAAATGGCCCCCTCAAGGATTGAACTCACAACTCTGGGTTGAGCAAGGCCAATGCTCAAACCACTGAGCTATCCCTCTGCCCCATAAGGTATACACACCTTATGAGCAGCACACTATTATATCTGGTTACAAACATTTCTGACTCAATACTGTTTGGTAGTTTTGCTTCCCTTTAATCTGAAAATTAACTTGTGTGTGTTTTTAAATGAATAAAAATGGGTTTTGGCTATCAGCAAAAGGCTGGCTGGGACTGTAGGTCATTGATATACAATGTTGGTGTAGAACAGAGGAAAACAAGGATTTTGCTTTTCACAGTAAAACATGACCCATAATTTATGCCGGCATATATTTTACTTAGTATTTTTATTGCACTTTTTCAAAGCACTGTACAAATATTAATTAATCCTCACATCCTTCTGAGGTAGATAGGACTGGCCTATCTTAATTTTAATGCTCAGCCTACTAATTCAGTGCCTTTCCTCTTATCTTTCATATATATATATTTTTTTTAAAGTCTATTAAAGATCCAGACCTTGTGAAATTGGGAAGTAAACCTTCCTCTGTTGGTCAGATTAATTCAGATTCAGAATATGTAGAACACAAATTTAAATTTGGTTAGAACTACCACAAATAGATATATATTATGCATGGTAAAATAGAGAATAGAGCAGTTTGTATGTAATTAAAAAAAAATAAATCTGAATCCAGATCCGAGTCTTGCAGTTTACAATACATGGGCAGACCCCTGTGCCCTCTCCCATGAGGCCTACTCATGTCATTAGGGGGGCTACCTGTATGTTGTAAATTGCATGATTGGGATCCTTGGTACCACAGGGCAAGTCAGTAGTCTTACTCTGTTTTCATCTTTTAACAATGCAGATTGATCAGCCCATTACATTAATATTTTCTTGTATGCTTCTTGCTTCCCCCGTCCCCCTTTGTTTGTGGGTTGTTTTTTTTTTTTGTAGAGAAGATTATTAGGATTTCTCCCAAAAGCATCACGCACAATGCTGCCAAAGTGAACAAACCTCTCCATGACAGGAAGTAAAAATGCATGCCTGGGATACAAAATTCTATGCCTTACAAAAAGCTGTTTATGAGGACCATAGTGAAGGGGGTCCTATTTCCCTTAATGTATTGATTTATTTCTTCAGTTTGCCTCTCCTGGTGTGATAAGTGAGTGCAACCACTTATCTGGGATACATGGACATCTTAGTTTTTCAGTTATATAGCACACGTTCTTGATGTTAATTATTATTTAGGGAAAAGGCAGTGGCAGATTTAGAGTTAGTGGAGCCTTGTTGGCAGCTGCATTTTTTTGGGGGCCCCCTCGGGACCCAGCCAAGAAAAAGAACATTCTCTCTATCACCCCCCTGTTTTTCATTCTTTTTTTCTTCACCCTCCTCCTCCTGTATAATAAGTAATGGGAAGTAAATGAAAATAAAGTGAGGTAACTTGAATGGGGCAGGGGGCTGGGAGTGGGTGAGGGGTGCAGGCTCTGGGAGGAAGTTTGGGTGCGGGGTGCATGCTCTGGGCAGGGGGCGGCACATACCTCGGGCGGCGTGGTACATACCCCCATCCGGCAGCAGCTCCTAGGCGGGGGGGTCAGGAGGGTCTCTGCGCGTCACTGCCCACAGGCGCTGCCCCTGCATCTCCCATTGGCCACAGTTCCTGGACAATCAAAGCTGCGGAGTTGGCGCTCAGGGCGGGGGTGATGCATGGAGAACCCCCCAGGGGCCGCAGGGACATGCCAGCCACTTCTGGGAGCAAAGCGGCACGGAGGGAGGGAGGGAGGGGGGCAGAGTGGGCAGGGAGCCACCTTAGCCCTGCTGTGCTATTGCTGGCACATCTCTGAGCACCCCTGGGAGGGAGGGAGGGAGGGGGGCAGCGGGTTTTTGTGTGCTGCCTGGGGCAGGAGCAGCATGCAGAGCCACCTCCCCCCACCTGCCAAGGGCACACAGAGACATGCCAGCAGCCAGCCGCTTCCGGGAGCGGCGTGGGGCCACTGGCCACAGCATGCAGGCAGCCTGCCTGCCTGCCTGAGCCCCACTGCTCCACTGGCTGGGACTCGGGGGCAGGTTGTCAGACATTTGTCCTGCATTTTGGGGGCCCCCCTGTTGTTTGAGGGTCCTGTACTACCAAAGGGTTTGTTTTATGGTTAATCCGCTCCTGGGAAAAGATCAAGTTTGGTGTCAAACCTTATTTAGCCTATTATTTTTTTATTTTATTTTTTTGAAGTTGGATAGAGCTTTTGCTTGGGAAACTTAAAGGGCTTGCTATTGTCTCTAAAATGTTCTGCGTGTGGTTGGGAAGAACAACAAAGACTTTGTCACAGCTAGATACTATGAATGTTCAGCTGAAAAATTCATAAAACCTGTCTGGTGGAATGCATTACTGCCAGCAGTATATCTCTCTGCTCTTATCTATGTGCATTGATAATTTTTAGCTGAGATTAAACATTCAGAGGAACAGGGAGGCTGACAGATTTGCAGCATAGATTGTTTAAAGGCGTAAACGGTGACTATCTCATCTGGCTATAACTCTGTAGATGTGATGTAAGTTTAAGGTACTAAAAAAAAGTGACAGAATAACTCCAGGTAAGGGAGTTTCATCAATTTAAATTTTCACAGTTGCAGAAAATTATGTGGTGGGTCAGACAATAATTATTTAATGACACTGAAATTCAAAAAGTTGAAGCTTTATAACTGTTAAAACACAAGTTGTCACCATCATATGTCCAAATATACAAAGTAAATATCTTTAAATCAAACTCTAATAAGTTCTCAAGCAGCACTTTTCTTACTTTCCTTATCTACTAATTCCCTAATACATTTCAGTTATTGAGGAAAATCCTTTTGTTGGTTTGTGTATGTATGGTGAAACTGACATTTACCAACTTTTATTGAAGACCAAACAAAAGCATTGGTGAAGCAAATATATTCTAAGCTCTTTGAGGAAGAGACTGTGCCTGCCTTTGTGTTTTGTATAGTGACTACCACAATGTGCCCCAATTCTGAGTGGGAACTCTGGCAACAGTGTAATATATTTCGTGACAATATAGAGTGTCTGAGAAGATGGCATTCTAAATTATAGACACGGTCAACTTCTGCTTACTCCTCGTAGCACTTAAAGTTTGTGAATGTGTGTTTAAAATTGCCTGAATGTTATCCCTTACAATACCATTGGTTATTTTGCTCACATGACTGATATTTAAAATAGAGCTATTGCCATAAGAGGGGGAAAAAAGATCCTGTTAGGCTTCACCACCGATTTCCAACATCAATTCTTGCTCCACAAACCTACCAACGTGGCAACCTGTGCTTTGCAAGCTCTGGCTAACAACAGTTTGCTCCTGCCCCACATTTGTCCAAACACAATATTTTCCCATCTTACTTTCTATGTATAATTCAAACATCTGCCAGTATTTACTATTAGTATGGAGGTGTTGGTTGCGATGCCATAATTAAGTTTCGAATTCCATAGTGAAGAAATAGCGCATCTCTGATTGTTTGAGTATTGTGGTGAGGCTGGCTCTATGGAACCCTAAGGTTTAACTTCAGCTGAAACTCTCCATAGGTCTCCAGGAATTCTTCAATGACTCTAATTCAAATGGACAATACCAGGAATCTACTGTTGGTAGACTCACAGCAAGCCCTTCTGGGGAAATGTGTAAACCAGTTTGACCAAGTGCAGGAGCTCTGCTGGAAAACTCAGATCTTGGTGAAGGAACTCTTGAACAAAGGAACCTTGAAATGGAAAAAAGAATGCCTGTGAACTGAAGAGAGACACACTGATTGGAGGGCCAGACCATCAAAGGGGCAGAAGCTGTAGGGGTAAAGCCTGTCTTGTTCATCCCCAGTGCTGGGACCGCCTGGGTAATGTGGAGCCTACTTAAACTGGCGTGGAAAGGCTAAGTTAAGGTAGGAGAGTATGCATGTAGGTCTTTGTTGTTTTAACCCTTTTCCTCTCTATGTTCCTGTGGATAAATAAATAATACTTTGTTTGAAGAGGCTGTTCTGAGTCACTGCAACTTCACACTGGTCACAAGCTCCTGAAGAAAAGTCTATGCAGGATTTTAATGCAGTTGGGCCTGCAAGAGGGAATATGGTTGGTAAATGGGGTGTTGTAGCCTTGTCAGTCCAGTCTAAGAGTGGGACAAATCACAGGATTCCATTATGAGAGGAGTGCAGGTATAGGTCTGTCACTTGGAAAGGGTGCTCACAGAGATGGGCAAAAGTACAGCTTCACCCTCAGAACTGTAACATCTGTTTTGCATTTAAAGCAGGGATTCAACCTCTTTGTTATGGGTAAATGACAGCACCGTCTCCCCATAGCTACAGCATTTACTCTCTAGGTATAGAATTAATTTTCTGAAGATTTACAAATAAATCCATTGATTAGTTTGAGTTAAAATTAATTTTAAAATGAGTCCTTTAAGAAATTTAGTCTAAGTCTTTTCTTCTAAATTATCTTAAATGAAAAAATATTCTTCAAACTTTTCACATAGTTAAAATTAATTGAAATATATATTTGAGGAAATTTATGTTGAAATTAAGCTGCATTATTAATGATTTTGTATCTAATTGTTATATAGGCTACCACTAGGGTCGGGACAACAGCTCAGGTAACTCAAGTAACACCATTGTGACATCAGAGATAACTGAACCAGTCACCTCTACAGGTAACTTTCATGCAACAATTCTATTGGTTATAATGACTCAGTGATATGAGGGAGACTAGACATACGTTAAGAATTCTCACGGATAGATTATTTGACTCAACTGCCATTGCTCTCTAAAGATTCCATGGCTGCATACTGGCTTGGCACCAGAGTTTGAAAAGGCTCCCTATTGTGTCAGCTCCACTGTGTATTTAGGCATCACTGCTGGGAGAATTGAAGCAGAAGCACAGGGCTTCCTTAAAATGCAGAGATGTTGGGACTTCAGGCTCTCTCCAGCACTCCTTTCACATAATACAATCTCCATGACACAGATCTCTAAACCAATAGGCAATTGCAAATTAAAGGCCAGTTTCAGCAGTGCACTGTAGCTGCTTTTGTGCTGCTCTGATAATGCAAATTGGCTGAAAACCCAGTTTAACTGGTCAGTGCTCTCCGTCTGCTTTAAGCAACTGCCTTTAAAATATTTTCAATGATTTGTTCATTATTACATATCTTCAAATTATAAGAAATATTGATTAGTGTATTTTTTTGGGTTTCTTGTTTTGTGTTCATGCACAAATTTTTTAACCAACAAAAAAACAACCACCCAAGAAAATTACATTACAGAGATGTTGTAGATGCCACAAAAGCAAGCATTGCAAACCCAGGAAATTCAGAGCTAAGATTACTCTTTAAAGAAATCCAAACAAGTGAAGGTAAGATATGCCAAGTTAAACATCAAAACAACCTTATTCTGTCCTGTAGTGTCAGAATGAGAGAAATACCAATGCAAAAAACCTATTTTAAATCACTTTTAATCTGTGACTACAAATACTAAAATAACTACGTCATAATCGCATGGTGTCTTACAAAGCAGAGTTAAGGTTGCTTGAATGCCATAACTGTTTATTTCCGTACATTAACATGTTTGGGTTTTAAGTGAAAATTTAACTCTGAATATAGGTTTCTGAGTAGGGTCACACATTCAAATTGAAAAGCTGCAAGGTGACAGACTTGTATGGAAAGCACAAGGGCCACTTTAATAATCTCATTCTCCCTCTCATTGTGGATTTGAGACCCGAACATCTATTTCCATCCTACCCAATGACATAGCTGACAGAGTACCTCATTCTCAAAGCAGTCTATAGGCGATATTTACAGATTACCTATTCTACAGTTTTTCTGTTACATACACACAGAGGATAAAGGGAAGATGACTTAAAACTTGAAAATTTCTCAATACATTTGAAAAAATTTCTTGAGTAATTGTGATAGTTATTTTGGATGTCATTGCACATCAAGTGGATCGTGTGTAATTTGGCAGGACATCAGGCAAAGTTACTAGTTTGCATAACTTTAATTCTGAATTTCTAGATTTTTAAACAATTGCTTTTTGTGACTGCTTTACCATAATTTAGTATGTTGTAACTATAGAGGAGAAAAACCCTACCAACGTTTGAAGGCTAAGAAATAATTGCTCTCTCTTTACCACTTTAAAAGACTTGTCTTCATGGGGATTTTTACCATCAGAACTATACCAGTATAATTATGTTGCTATAGTTTGACTGGTATAACTCCCCATGTGGACACTATTATTCCAGTGTACGAGGGGGTCCTTTTCCAGTTTAACTTATGTCATATATTACACTGGAATAAGATTGTCCACATGCGGAGTTATATCAGTATAACTATAGCAACATAATTATAGTGGTATAATTTTTATGTAAATGTCTCTGTGTTGACAAGCCCTTTCCCTTTGTCTGGCAATTTATTTTGGCTCTCCATATTTCAGTTCATTCATGTGCTGGACTAAAACAGAGTGGATCAAGGCAATGAAAACAGTGAGAATTCAGTGTATATAAGTAGGCGGTCAGGTTCTCAGGAAACCAGACAGTAATAAACATATCTGTTTCATGAAAATATTCACTTTAAATTACATTGTCCTTGTTCTACAATGTTTGCATTTCTGTTGGGTTTAATAAAAGGGTAATAAATAAAGTTTTTTGTTCTCTTTGAGGATCATAAACTAATATACCAAATAGCTAAAAATTGGTAAAACATTATCTCTCATAAAATGCAACTGGGTTTTCCGGCAAATACAACACTAGGGAATGATTTGAAAGCTTTTTAGTCTCTACAGCAGGTCCTTTGTAGCCTAGTACCATAGCACATCAACTATGTAATTTCTCCATCTCCTATATCACAGTTAGGGTTCCTTAAATATGTGGGGCACAGGACAGTTGTCAAAAGTACAACAATAGCCAACTTACATGAAAATAGTATTCACGAAGTCTTTAATAATAAGACTCTGTTAGATGATAAAGGTAAATCTTAAGCAATGTTTTCCAAAATGTGCTTAGAGTGAACTATAAACATGCCTCACTTTTATAGATCTTTAAGGCTAGAAAGGACTATTATGTCAATAACTCATGCCATAGAATATTATCCAGTAACTTCTGAATCAAGGCCATAACTCCTAGTTGAACTAGACCATATCTTCTAGAAAGCCAGCCAGTCTTGATTTAAATACCCTTCAGGTAATGGAGAATCCAGTACATCCATAGCAAAAGTTAATTATCCTCACTGTCAAAAAATTGCACCTTATTTCTTATCTGAATTTGTCTACGTTCAGTTTCAAGCCATTGGATCTTGTTATGCCTTTGCCTTCTAGATTAAAGAGCTCTTTATGATCAGAAATCTTCTCTTCAAGTACGTACTTGCAGATAAAATGACCACTATGCACTTTGTATTCTGTGTTGTAATTGAAATCAATATATTTGAAAATGTAGAAAACATCCAATAAATAAATGGTATTCTATTATTGCTTAATAGCATGATAAATCATGATTAATTTTTAATCGTTTGACAGTTCTAATATTTTTTGAGATGGGGCAACCAGAACTAAATGCAGTATTCAAGGTGTGGGCATACTATGGATTTATATAGTGGCATTATGATACTTTGTGTCTTATGATCTATCCCTTTCCTAATGGTTCCTAACTTTCTTTTACCTTTTTGACTGCCGCTTCACATTGAGCAGATGTTCTCAGAGAACGATCCATAATAATTCCAAGATCTCTTTGTTGAGTGGTAACAGCTAATGTAGACCCCATCGTTTTGTATATACAGTACAATCTCTTTATCATGAAAGTGGATCTTTCAAATATAGACTTTTAAGTACAAAATAACTGCATTTAAAAATAAAACAATGTAAAAACTTTAGCGCCTACAGGTACACTCAGTCCTACGTCTTGTTTGGCCAGTTGCTCAGACAAACAAGTTTGTTTACATTTGCAGGCGATAATGCTGCCTGCTTCTTGTTTACAATGTTACCTGAAAGTGAGAACAGGCATTTGCATGGCACTGTTCTAGCCAGCGACGCAACATATTTACATGCTAAAGGCACTAAAGAGTCATATGTCCCGTCAGGCTTCAGCCACCATTCCAGAGGACATGCATCCATGCTGATGACAGGTTCGACTTGACAGTGATCCAAAGCAGTGCAGACTGACGCACGTTCATTTTCATCATCTGAGTCAGATGCCAACAGCAGAAGGTTGATTTTCTTTTTTGGTGGTTTGGGTTCTCTAGTTTTCGCATTGGAGTGTTGCTCTTTTAAGAATTCTGAAAGCATGCTCCATATCTCATCTCTCTCAGATTTTGGAAGATACTTCAGATTGTTAAACCTTGGGTCAAGTGCTGTAGTTATCTTTAGAAATCTCACATTGGTACCTTCTTTGTGTTTTGTCAAATCTGCAGTGAAAGCGTTCTTAAAATGAACAACATGTGCTGGGTCATCATCTGAAACTGCCATAACATGAAATATATGGCAGAATGCGGGTAAAACAGAGCAGGAGACATACAATTCTCCCTCAAGGAGTTCAGTCAGAAATTTAATTAATGCATTTGTTTAATGAGTGTCATTATCATAGAAGCATGACCTCTGAAATGGTGGCCAAAACATGAAGGGGCATACGAATGTTTAGCATATCTGGCGTGTAATTACCTTGCAATGCTGGCTACAAAAATGCCATGTGAATGCCTGGTCTCATTTTCTGGTGACATAAATAAAAAGTAGGCAGCATTATCTCTCGTAAATGTACACAAACTTGTTTGTCTTAGCGATTGTCTCTACAAGAAGTAGGACTGAGTGGACTTGTAGGCTCTAAAGTTTTACGTTTTGTTTTTGAGTTATATATTAAAAAAAATCTACATTTGTAAGTTGCCCTTTCATGTTAGAGATTGCACTACAGTACTTGTATGAGGAAAATTGAAAAATACTATTTCTTTATCATTTTTACAGTGCAAATATTTGATCAAAAATATAAAATAAGCAATGTATACTTTGTATTCTGTGTTGTAATTAAAATCCATATATTTGAAAATGTAAAAACATCCAAAATATTTAATAAATTTCAATTGGTATTCTATTGTTTAACTGCAATTAAAACTGATTAATCACGATTAATTTTTTTGAGTTAATCACGTGAATTAACTGCAATTAATTGACAGCCCTAAAAATAAATATATCTATCTATCTATATGAATTGGAAAAAGTACAGAAAAGGGCAACAACAGTTATTAGGGGTAGGAAACAGCTTCCATATGAGGAGAGATGAAGAAGAAGATTGGGACTCTTCAGCTTAGAAGAGAGATGACTAAGTGGGGATATGACAGAGGCGTTAAAATCTTGAATGGTGTGAAGAAAGTAAGCGTTATTTATCCTTTTCCATAACACAAGAACCAAGGGCCATCCAATGAAATTAACATGCAGCAATTTTAAAACTAACAAAAAGAAGTACTTCTTACACAACACACAATCAACCTCTGGAACTTGTTGCCAGGGGATGTTATGAAGGCCAAAAGTATAACAGGGTTCAAAAAAGAATTAGATAATTTCATGGAGGATAGGTCCATCAATGGTTATTAGCCAAGATGGTCAGGGATGCAACCTCATGGTCTGTGTGTCCCTGAATCTCTGACTGCCAGAAGCTGGGACTGGACGACAGGGATGGATCTCTCAATAAATTGTTCTGTTCAGTTCATTCCCTCTGAAGCATTTGGCGCTGGCCACTATCATGGAAGATAGGATAATGTCCTAAACAGTCTGACCAAGTGTGGCCATTCTTATTCCTCTGTTGGACTTCCTCAGTTCCAGGTGGAAAACTGAGGCAAAGGACTACTGTTCAAGATACTGTGGGGCACATGTTTACTTATTGTTTGCATATTTTTGAATCCTTGTTGTGGTGGTTTCCCAAAATAATGCTGTTTCCTTTTATTAAGAAAAGTTTTATTTTGTTATACACAAACTCAGTGCTTGTGAATGGAGAAGGAGAGGGGCCTACAGGTGGTGTTTAGTTTTTCCAAAGTTTCAGTTGGGGTCTGTCAGGGTTCCCTCCCCACTCTGAACTGTAGGGTATAGATGTGAGGACCTGCATGAAAGACCCCCTAAGCTTATTTCTACCAGCATAGGTTAAAACTTCCCCAAGGCACAAATTCTATGCCCTTGGAGGGTATGCTGCCACTACCAAGTGATTTAACAGATAATCAGGGGAAGGACCACTTGGAGTTCTTATTCCCCAAAAATATCCCCCAAACCCTTACACCCCCTTTCCTGGGGAGGCTTGAGAATAATATCCTAACCAACTGGTTACAAAGTGATCACAGACCCAAACCCCTGGGTCTTAGGACAATAAAGGAATCAGTCAGGTTCTTAAAAGAAGGATTTTATTTAAAAAAAAAAAAAAAGTAAAAATCACCTCTGTAAAATCAGGATGGAAAATAACTTTACAGGGTAACAAAAGATTCAAAAAACACAGCAGAACTTCTTCTAGGCTTAGTTTCAAAGTTACAAAAATCAGGAATAAACCTTCCTCCAGCAAAGGAAAAATTCACAAGCAAAACAAAAAATAAAACACGCCTTGCCTGGCTTTTACTCACAATTTTTGTAATATGAGAGACTTTTAGGATGGTTTATAGGAGAAGGAGTTTTCTGACCTGATGCTTCTCTGCTTCCCACGAGAACACACACAAAGCCTTCCCCTCCCCCCCCAACAAGATTTGAAAGTATCTTCTTTCTCCATTGGTCCTTTTGGTCAGGTGCCAACCAGGTTATTTGAGTTTCTTAATTCCTTACAGGTAAGGAGGAATTCTAGGCTACCCTTAACTGTATTGTTATGACAGGGTCTTGAGATGGTTTTGTTTTGCAGTATTAAGAGGAACCCCTACATATTGAAGCTGATCCTTGCTGCTGCTGACATCACCTGGCAGAAGGATTACATAAACATCCTTCTTAAAGTATGGATCCCAGAACTGTGTACACAGTATATTGGTAATGGTCTTGTTAATACTGTATGTGGCAGTAATCCCACTTCCCTCCTTCTACTTGATACTCCCCTGTATTATATTTCCAAGGATCATGTTTGCTCTCTCAGCGACCACATTGCACTGAGATCATACTGAGTTTATCAATAATTACCCTAAGTCCCTTTCAAGAGTCACTGCTTTCCAAAATCCATCCCCCCTCCCTCCTCTGAGTGTGGAGGGAGGGGGGATGGATTTTGGACTTTGTTCATAAATGTATGACCTTGTATTTGGCTGTATTAAAATGCACAGTATTCAAATTATTCAATTTACCACAATCCAGATTACTCTGTAGAATGGGTGTTTTCTTATCATTATCACTCCACCAATTTTTGGGTCATCTGCAAATAATCTAAGCAATGATATTGTTTTCTTCCAAATCATTTATAAAGATAGTGAATAGCATTGGTCCAAGAACAGATCCCAGTGGGACCACCATGGGCGGCGGCAGGTGAATTCCCACTTTGGGGAGACTAGCCTGCTGACCGTGCCCCTTCTGCCCGAGACCCTGCTCCCCATATGCTGGAGAACCCCCAAATCAGGAGGAACCCTGAGGGCCCCCGCACGACTGGAGGAGCCCCACGGCCTGCCAAAAGGGGTAACAGTATTATGTCAAACACAGATATCAACCAAATTTGCCTTTGGTTGAGAATCAATAATAATATTTTATAACATTATCTTCTCAAGTTCTTGAAGAAGATGAACTGAAAGACTATACTCTGCACTTGCAGGAGGTGAGGTCTCTCTGATCTAGTACATTTCTACATCTACCTCTTGTGATCTAAATGTGAACTGAAATTTTTAGACTTAAATTCTTAGTAATGACTTGAATACTTCCATCCTGTATATGCTGGTGTATAAGTAGGAGCAATCTCAATTAAGTAAAAAGCAATAGGTATGCATTGCACTGTGATTGGCTGTGAAATTTATTGGGTGTTTGGAACTCCTTTATATCTTTTTTCCACTTGTGCATCTTTGTCTCTTAAATATAGTAACAGCTATTGTGAGTTAAGAAACCTATCTGGTTTGCCAGAGAGGAGTCAGGATGTGAAATATTTATTTTTTTTCTAAATAGGAAGGGTTTTTTAAGAAAAATTGTTTAACTGAGTGCTAAAATGTTTTTCAACATTCAGTGCTGCATTTGGTTTATTTTAGAATTCAGCTACCACAATTAAGAGACATGAACACTGATAAGTTCGTAGGGCAATAACAATGATGCATGTGACTTTTCTATAGTACACTGCACTTGCAGATATGGAAGCAATGAGAAATAGTGAAAGCCTGAGTATGGTGGGGAAGTCCCAGCAAAAGTACTGGATCTATAGTACTGTTCTTGGAACATCAGAAACTTAAATAGAAGTTCACAAATTTAGAATTTTGAGTTCGACTTAGTCTAGTCTGCCCTTTTGTCTCTGTCAAGAAAGGAATGGCATATATGACCCTGCAAGCTTAATACTGCTGCAATGACTTTTGAGTCAGTAAAGCTTTATTTTTTTTTTCTTCTTCCCCAAAACTCGGTTGAGTAAGGCCAGTATTTTTATGGGATTACAGAGCTCCTCACATACTGCTCACTGTGTACTGGCTTTATGTGTGATCGTTAACAAAGGCTTTGTTACATTCTCAGCAGTGTTATTTATAAATTCTGACTAAATCCTGTGTTGTTGTTCCACCTTTTGTTTAAAAAAAAAAAAGTCCCTCTAAAATAAAAATAGCAAGTCTTACCACTACTACAATCCCTGAATGAAGGGGAAAAAAAATCAAGATTTTCTTAGTAAACCTGTCAAATATTTTGAGATCGGTGAAATAAAAAATAAGGCTGAGTGGAATTGGGATCTTATATGGTGGCAAGAAGCCAGGCTGGATACCATTGAGGTATAGTATACTGGTCTTTAGCATTCTCCCTTGTGATCCTGCTCCTCTGAAAGAAGAAGAGGGCAGGTACCTCTACTCTCCATAACAGGTTTTCAGGAGAGGTGGGGAAATGGTTGCTTACCACCACCACAGTGTTGATTTCCATAAGAAGAGTTGAGGATGTCAACAGCCACCCATTGGAATTCTGCTGTGTTTGGGTGGGCAAAGTAAACTACTAAAGGCCCTCTCCTACATGAACCTGTTTTCTGCTTGAGAGTGTGAAGACAAGAAGACCTCCAATCTATTATATACCTTGTAATTTGTGTGAGCCACAGAGTACCACATTTTCAGCTGGTTTCTGTTGTGTGCATAAATCTGCATTTGTATGTGTAAGCTGACATTTGTGCAATTGTAATGGATGGTTGGGCACCTGACTACAGTTTATTGTGTTCATAAGTGGGTATGTACACAGCTATTGCATTCATGCAAAAATAAGGACAGCTGGAAACGTGGACCAGAATAGGTTTGGGGTTGAAGAGGGGAAGGGGAAAAAAAAAAAGTACTTGACTGGGAAAACTGGTGCCAAACAACTGAGAACTTCGCTGTATTCATCATATCAAAAAGAGAGGAAGCCACATACAGTAACAGTATGGTGAGATATTGATTCTAATAATTTAAATTAAGAAATAGAGCCGATAAAAGAGCTGAATAAAGAAAACACCAAGTACATGATATAGAATTCTTCTTTGATTTATCTTTATGACTTTATGATGGTAAGAGTCCCCAGCATTTAGAAATAAAGAAGTAAATTTAGAATCCCCTCAGTCTCCACCTCACCACACCAAACTCTCCAGAATACATTAATGTTAAAAGGACTTTACAACTCGTAAGTAAGAAAACCTCTCTTTATTGAGATTTGCTTAGAGTCAGTAAATTCAACTACATCTGTTTGAATTGAAGTCATATGTTATTTGCAGTGTTAATATTCTTTGAATTAAATTCATCATAGAGAAATCTCTTAGAAGGCATGTTTTTAAGCATATGTGGCTAAACTGGTGTTGCCAGCTCTGTATGTGGACACTTTGATTTCAGAATAAGAATCCTTTTTCAGTCAGTTTTTCACTTAAGCAAAATTGAAATAAACCTTATTTTGGAATAAAAAAAGTGCCCACACATAGACTTGCACCAAAATAACAAAGCAC